TTCCCTGCACACAGCGTGCGTTTTTTCAAATGTCCAAATGTCCAAAATTACCCCTCACGTGACTATCTTTAATTTGACCTCAAACTGAATTTAATTTCTTTCCTTATTACACAAAATTGGCTGCCCTAATTTTGCACTCATTCTCACCCTCCGATTTCACAAATCTACGGTTCCAAACCGTTCTTATTTATCTCCTAAAGAAATGGTCTTACTTGAATCAAACCATATATATATATATATATATATATATATATATATATATATATATAGGGGTGAGTTCTAATACAAAGGGGTCTTCTCATGAAAAGTAAGAAGTGATCTCAGCCCTTGATCGCTTAAAAGTGAATGGTGTAGATCAAAATTCACGTTCAGAAATACTAAACTCAAATGTGCAATACTTACTAGTAAAAGTGCATATATGATATGCAAATGTGGACATTTACCTCATTAAAAAAGTTACAAATCGATTTTTATACTTCTTATTTTATTTCGAAGCGCGGTGCACTTTTAATGTCTGGTATTGCACTTTTTCAATACAACGATGCACTTTTACTTTAACGGATCCAATAAAAGTTGTACATATTGCCACCGCGTTTTTGCTTTAAAATTTGATCTGGTCCATCGATTTTATCAATTCAAAGGCCTAGATTAGTTCTTATTTTTCACCTAGGATTGGTCCATCGTGAATTTTGATCTACACCATTCACTTTTAAGTGATCAAGGCCTATATATATATATATATATATATATATATATATATATATATATATATATATAGGGGTGAGTTCTAATACAAAGGGGTCTTCCCATGAAAAGTAAGAAGTGATCTCAGCCCTTGATCACTTAAAAGTGAATGGTGTAGATCAAAATTCACGTTCAGAAATACTAAACCCAAATGTGCAATACTTACTAGGAAAAGTGCATATATGATATGCAAATGTGCACATTTACTTCATTAAAAAAGTTACAAATCGATTTATATACTTCTTATTTTATTTCGAAGCGCGATGCACTTTTACTGTCTAGTATTGCACTGTTTCAATACAACGATGCACTACTTTAACGGATCCAATAAAAATTGTACATATTTACCATATTGCCACCGCGTTTTTGCTTTAAAATTTGATCTGGTCCATCCATTTTATCAATTCAAAGGCCTAGATTAGTTCTTATTTTTCACCTAGGGATCACTTTTTATTTTTCAATGCAAATGTGCCTATATATATATATATATATATATATATATAAAGGATCAAATACAAACACTTTCTAATTTACAAACTACAAACCATCTTAGCCATCCGATGAGTTGATCTAAAGGCTGTTGATGCATGTGGCATTTTGGTAATATAATCAAACTTTTTTGGATGCAGTATTTTGAGCGTTAATATGGAACTGCTTAATTTATTGCAAAATAATACGCAACACTTTGAACTTCAATATGCAATACAAATAGCGTAAAGATGCATTCTACAAACGTTTTCACGATAAACACAATTTGCACATGATCATCCCCGTGTATATATAGGGGATCAAAAGTGTGTGTGAGCGGAGGGTTTTAGTGAGAACCTCTCTTCAAATGAGAACCTAAATTTTAAGGTGAGAACCCGTGGTATTTTTGGCTGAAATTTTTTGTGTATGTTCCTCATCAAGTCCAGTTCATTCATACCAAATTTGAACAAAAAAATCATTCGGGAAGATCGTCAAATGATTTTTGAAAGCAAATTGGTCCGAAATATACATATAAAACGCAATTGCTCCTGTCCCACGCCAGATACGCCCCTGCCTATACGTATAATTATACAAAGATAGTGAGAACAAATACGCTTTGCTTGGGGTACACTCTTTTTGTGTACACACTTTTTACACATGTCCAGAGGCGTCTTGAAGACTTTGGAGGCCCCAGACAGAAAAAATATCATATTCAAATCATAAAAAATCATATGAAAAAGCATATTTAAATTGCACATATAACGTGAACGTCCAAAGGAAAAATTCTTGAAAGAGAATTTCACTAGTTATCTCAACTTATTCTTTCTTTTTGTACTAATATATAATACAAAAATCATAAACAATAAAATAACAAAAACCAAGAATCTATAAATAAAAATGACGTATAATCTAATCCATACAATAACAATTTGTTTTACCAGTATAGCAATATTAACCCAATAATTTTTAGATTATACTTATTTGTCATACATTCAGCATATTAAATATTTAACTTTACACCTTTACTCCTTTAGTAGACATTATTTCACTGTAATCGCATTAAAGCACTTGTAGTACTAAAAAAGTTAAAATCCTTATTATCTTATTTAGACATCTACACATGACACTTCGTTGTCTGCTGAATGCGTAGAAGATAATTTTTCTATTCTAGTTTCCCTTTATTAAGTAATTATTATACATAATACCAATAGTAATAGTTTTGATTTTGGAGGCCCCCTTGGCATGTGAGGCCCAAGGCTGTTGCCTAGCCTAACTCCCCCCAAAGCCTCCTATGCACATGTCTATGTAAGATTTTTTTTGTCTGTACAGACAAAACGTATTTTGAGGACTGTACAGACAAAATACGTTTTGTCTGTACAGACAAAAAAAATCTTACACAAACATATGTAAAAAGTGTGTACACAAAAAAGTGTGTATCTTTATAATTTTTCTACATACATTACAAGAGATATTATATCCGGAGGAATAAAGGGATTACAAATCATGGGCACATTATTTTAGTATGAAAACCGTGCCTGATCCTCCACACTTAAAGATCTTCATCAATATTCGTCAATATTATTACTTGTTTACTTCATCTTACTAGTGTAGCTCTAATTTCCCTCTAGAATAGAGATAGGTCTCAGATACTCTATCAATGTCAGCTCATTACATAGGAATGTCTAAGAATATTTTTACTTAGGACTAAAATTTACTGATCTGGTCTGATAAACGTCTGGTCTCTGTGTATTTTATAAATACGGAAGTCTAGTATGATCTTGTCTGATCTGAATTGGTCTGGTCTAGGATTGAAAGAATCCAAATAAAAACATCAAGTCCACAATATAGCTATAAATCAACTTAAAGCGTAGGCCTATGTTTGGCAAGCATAAGTCTATACCTTCTAGCTTTTGCACTTTTTAAATTCTTTAAAAACTTTTAATTGTATGTTTGGCATGCCAATTTTAAGAGTTTTATAAAAAATAAAAGATTTTTTTTTGAAATACTGTATAGTTAGTAGCATTTCATATAAATCATCTAGCATTAATTAGTCTCAAGAGAAACAGTGCTAAATCAAACAGTCGCCTTTTTATTAAACAACTAATATCATTTCTTTTAAGATCCTTTCAGTCACTAAAGAGAAGGTCACATGTTCGAATCTCATTCCAGTTCAAGGATGTTGGCCTTAACAGAACATATACTGTAATAGGTTAGAAAGTTTTGCAAAAAAAAATTTAATAATTACTAAAAAGTTCAAAAAGTATCTTTTCAGTTAGTTGTGTCAAACATACCCTAAAAACTAAAGAATGATTTAAATTCTATAAAACATTTCCAACTACTACATGTTGAACAAGTCAAAAGGTTGCCATTTTGTTTTACTCATAAAGTGCCTAAGCTATTTCGTTTCCCTTGAATCTCGCATTCATCATTTTTACTATTACATCATACTCCGTAGATGAGAAGTATTTTACTTCGTATATCAAAAGAAATCACAAGTTACAACACGCGAGATGACCCCTACAAACCCACTCATTTTAAAAAAAATATTGCCATTATTTTTGTTTTTTGTCTAGGTTTGGGGTAATTGACTAATTGGGTATGATTAATTGGATGGGAACATTGGTAGCTCGGTAGAGATGAAATACAAAATTGTATCCCAACAATCTACCAAGTAATTTTTTTTCAAGTAAAATGCATAAATGGTCCTTGAACTATCATCACCATATTGTTTTTGTCATCGAACTATTAAATCTATTATTTTAGTCCTTAATCTATTTCATCTATATTAATCGAGTCATTCCGTTAAATTTTCCATTAACTATGATGAAAGCTAATTAACTTATTAACATCTCATAATTATAAACATTTTGAAACAATACAATTATTCTTAAAATTTAAGTAGTTAATCTAGGTTTTTTAAATATACGTATATGTACACATACACATATAAACATTATAAATAAATAATATAAATCAAATGTACGGCCTAAATAATGTGTAGTATATAAGAGAGAATCAAATAATTAATTATATACATATGAGCAGATAAAATTAAATAAGAAAATGAGGACTCAATTAGCTAATTTAAAAAAACTAAATTAGCTAGTTAAATTTTAAGAATGATTGTATTATTCCAAAATGTTTAAAATTATGAGGTGTTAATAAATTAATTAGCTTCCGTCAAAGTTGACGGTAAATTTAATGGAAGGACTGGATTAATATAGATGAAATAGTTCGAGAACCAAAACGATATGGTAATGATAGTTCAAGGATCATTTATACATTTTAATTAAGGAGTTTATATTTTAATACTTAGGGAGTGTTTGGATCTGATTTTTAAAACTGTTTCTGCTCCTCCAGGGAGCAGAAGCAGAAGCTGGAGTGTTTGGGTGAAAGTGGAGAAGTGATTCTGGTGCTCTAATTTACTCATAGAATCAGTTTTTTTAGAAGCTGGGGGGGACCAACTTCTGAAAACTGATTCTGATTCTGCTTCTACTTTAAAAAAGAAGCAGAATCAGAATTGGTTCCAAACACCCCCTTAAATGCATTTTTTTCCCTAATACTTAACTTTAGTTTATATTTTGAGTTAATTAAGAATATATACTCCGGTAATTAAGGAGTTAAATTGGAAATTCAATTCCTTATAAAAGTAGGAATTATAAAGAAATAATACAAAAAGGAATAATTAATTAAAGGTTTTGACTGGAAATTGGGGAGGGATCGGACAAAATAGAATCATTCCGTTCCTATATATTATTATAAAAATAATTGAGTTTCAATTGCCAACACCATAACTTGCACTAAACAAAGTAAAGCTAAGGAATTAGAAAATGGCGGCATTACCAAGTCTACTTCTAACTTGTTCCCTTCTCCTCATCCTCTTCCTCTTCCTCCTCCCCGTCTCGCTCTCTCTTCCCGCCGATGATCAGCCGAGGCTCATCGAGAAGCAGCTCAAGCTAGATTACCTTGGCGAGTCTGGGTTTCCTCTTAGCGATGAGAGAGTTAACCCAGGCCACTATGCCGGTTATTTTAAGCTTAATAATACCATAAATGCAAGGTATGTGTATACATGCATATCAAATGTTAATTTTTAATTTATGTCTTCCAAAACAATTTGTTTATTAGACTTGCAGTTTTTGCTTGGACTGAAATTTCCTGATCTGGATTGATGAATGTCTGGTCTCTATGTATTTTATAATTCTGGTTTGATCTATTTAAGTTTGATATATTTTTATAGAATTTCATAAAAAATGCATGCAGCATGTTCTATTTCTTCTTTGAGTCGAGAGAGAACAAAAAGAGCGATCCGGTGGTGATATGGCTAACAGGAGGACCGGGATGCGGCAGTGAGATTGCTTTGTTCTATGAGAATGGACCCTTTCAAATTCAAAACAATATGTCTCTTACTTGGAATGCTTACGGTTGGGACAAGGTAATTCTTTACAGAATTACAGCTGCTATTTTTCTACCTATCCAAACAATAAGTCAAAGCAATCTTCACCTCAATTTAATTTACCTGGTGTTTTTCAATTATATCACCACTTTATTAATCAGGCAGTATTTCTCCGTCCTTCTTTACGGTTGAGATTTTTTCACTATTCACACATCTTACTTTGATCATGATTTTCTACTACGAGTAATATATATAATGAAATTATTATCTATAAAATGTTATTAAATTTCCATTAATGTGAATTTCCAAAATATTAACTGTTTATAATGTTTACTAATACGTAATTAAATATAATTACCGTTAAAGAACCGAGTTTTTGACAATTTCTCCATTCTCCTGGCGACCTGGCCTTTTGGTGCAATAAATTTGATTTTTTTGAAAGACTTTTGACTCTGTTAATTGAGGGTACTTTTAAATTTATTTTCCAAATGAGGGTATTTTTTTCAATATCATCCAATTTCTGCCACATCACCCACTCCACATCATTCACCGTCATCCGTCATTCCACGTCATCAGCCATATGGGTACTCTTTTAAAATATAAAAAAATCTGAAGCTCCCGGGAATTGAACTAAAGACCCAAATGATGCACTTGCAACTTGAAACACACACATGCTTGTTATTTATGTTTAATAAATTAACCGTTTTAAATATATTAATCGTCAAAATGATATCGATTATACTGATTGAATATATTTTGATTATCATGTCAAGAACTTTTCTAAATAAAATAATATATAGAGAAAGTTTCAAATAGAAGTTTTTGTGATCTCGTTAAATAGGACTACACTTACCTTTTTTCGTTTAATATTATTACAACTTAAACCTATAATTTGTGGATGCGTTTGATTAGTGTCTCTCGAGCTCGTCTCTTGTCCCTCTCTTTGGATTTTCCTCTTCCATATCTCTCCTTTCCGCGTATGTGAAAATTCGACTTTTAGAGATTTTCTGATGAAGGTTGTTAAGTTGCGGCGGAGTGACCGATTGTCGTAAGTTAGTGTCAGACCCATTCCTGACATTTTATGGGCGCGGGACAGTATAGATAGAGTAGGCGTTAGATATAACGTGTGAATGTTTATACTCTTTTATATATAAAAATTATAGGTAAAATTAAGTAATTTTGTTTTCTTAATACTAGTATAACACATCAAAAAATTAATATGAGACAAGTGACATAGGAAAATACTATGTACCTAAACCAGCCGAATGAAAAAATAGTACAATTGTTATTGGGAAACATGTGAAAGTTATACTCCGTATCTTATATGAAGTAACATTTTCATATTTTAAATCACATTTTCATTAGACTAAAAGAAACAACAAATTTCTAAATTCTATCACTTACATGAGAGAATCAAATAAAATTAGCAAAATATTGTCAATGAATCATGGGTTTACATGAAAGAAGTAGATGAAAAGATTGACGTTCACACGTTAACTCTTAATGAATCAAAAGAAATGGTGAAAGTTTGTTCCCAATTCGAGGGCTTTTGTGTGGATGTTTAGGATGTTTTTACTTGGACTGTAATTTGCTGGTCTAGTCTAATCTGGTCTGTTTTGGTCTGGTCTGGTCTGAAATTTTATTTTTTATATTTTTTGCATAAAGATTTTATTTTTTATATATATTTTATAATCCATAAATAATTATATTTTATTCATTTATAATTAAAAATAATATAATTCCTTCCAAATTATTGAAAATTGTTATCGTTTTACTTGGTCTGATTTCAATCCCAGACCGAAGCAGATCAGACCAGACCAGACCAAAACAGAACAAACCATATCGAACCGGAATAACAACAACAACAACAACAACAACAATAATAATAATAATAACAATAATAATAATAACAATAATAATAATAACAATAATAATAATAACAACAACAACAACAACAATAATAATAGTATGGAGTAATAGTAGTAGTAGTAGTAGTAGTAGTAGTAATAATAATAATAATAATAATAATAATAATAATAATAATAAAGGGCATGCACTATCCGGTTTAAACCGGAAAACCGGACCGAACCGGACCGGAAAAACCGGAACAGGATCGAACCGGAATGATATCCGGTTCGGTTCGGTCCGGTCCGGTCCGGTTTTGAACCGGTGCACACCCCTAATAATAATAATAATAATAATAATAATGATAATAATAAAATATGGTCTGGTCTGGTCTGGTCTTGTCTGTTTTAGTCTGGTCTGGTCTGGTTTGGTTTGGTCTGGGACGAATTACAGTCCAAGTAAAAATAACCTTAATTCCAAAATTTTAAACTTGTAGTTAGTAGATGTTGTTGAAGAATGAATTGAAAGTATACAAAAATATAAGTTTGATTTTGTTTTAAATTTTTTATAGATATATGTGTATATTTAATTAAAATAAATATCATGGTTTTATGAAGTGGTTGTTTCCTATTCTATTTTTATTTTTATGTTATTTCGATCGACTCTCTTATTTAATATTGATATTTATTAGTTTTATGGTTAATATTAAAAATTAAATGCCATATTTATTGTTTTTTATATTTCCTACTAATTAAATACAGACTTTTACATTATTTCATAAAGAACATTATTTCCAAATAATGTCATATCTGATATATGTGATATTACCTTTACAAAGATGACCACATTACTCCTTTAATTGGAAATATCATCTAAATTAATAATGCCATATTTTTCGAAATGAAAAATGTCTTTTATATTGCACTAACTAGATAACAACTCAAAAAAGACTTTATCGAAATAACAACATCACTTCTTTAGAAATATAGTATTTATATGTCATTTTGACTTATAAATATATATATGCCATAAAAACATTCGCTTGGAAGAACCTCAAACATAGACGGCCGTGGGCGGTTCCTGCCAAACACGCTTGACATAGGGGCGGACCGTAGTAGAGACCCAGGGGGCTACTGTTAGGAAATTGATGTAACGTACCTCGAAAGTACGGCAGCGGAAGTTTAAAATTTTCCCAAACAGATCTTCCCTGATTATGACAAAATAACGAATATGATAATAATAACAGATCTGAGTTAGAACTTACAGATCTTCCAGCCTAGCGGTGATAATCCTTGACCTTTGGTATCCACGTGATTTCTCCTTCCCGAAAGAACGGTTAGATCTCCCTAAGAGAAAGGCTAGGAAATCTCTTCGCAAGGAAATAAGCTGTTAATACTGAATCTGAAAACTGGTCTATAAATTATGAAGGAGAAGGATGTATTTATACTAGTTCGAAACTAGTTTTCCAATCACAATGAAAGTCTTTCTAATTAATGAGTTCTAATCCTACTAGGACCAATACTCCTAATTAATTAAATAAGTAGATAAAACAAAACAAAATAATAATAATTGAAATGTGGCTGCACGCCACTTTCTAATTATTATATATTAATATTTATTTTATTTACTTTTCTTTTAATTCCAAATTACAAAAGAAAATATCTACTTTATTTAATAATAAATACATCTTATTTAAGTATGATAAATCTAATTTATCTTACTTAATTAATTCTATCAAATAGAACTCTCCTTCAGCTTCATGAATTAAATATGTTTAATCTAATTAATATTTAATTCATTTTCAGTATTACGAATTAAATATTATTTAATCCAATTAATAATATTTAATTCCTTCTAACAATTCAATCGGAAAGTATAATCACTTGTTGTGTGACCCATAGGGCCTTATATATTAAGCACTAATCAAATTAAGGTCTTAGCGAATCCCTAGACAATTCTCCAGACAAACCTAATATATAAGGACGTTTGCGAGGACTATACAAACTCCCTGTAATATAGAGCTCATAGTGATACGGTCCTTTCATTCAGCGAACATTCAACTAAGTCTAGAACATGATATAGTGTCTATCCCAATAACTCAGTCTCTGTCTCTCAATCTTTCTAGATGATCCATAACGATCATATTCGATATCCAAAACGAATATATCTTTGCATTGGCCAATGACTTTATGATCCATCTAGATATGAGAAGTAGAATGTTCTCTCTTAATCTATTATGAGGAATGAATCCTTTCTTGGCTCAACTACTACTCCATGTGCTTCGTGATGCACCCAACACATGCCGTATCTACCCCGATTGGAGTGCAAGCGTTGGTCATGGTCAAAGTACATCACTCCGCACATGTAGTACGTATTGACCTCAAGTCGGAGGACTATTACACTACTCTATACGCCGATAAACCCATAGACACATGAATAGAACTTATCAAATGGTTTCTCGGTGGGTATGCCAATATTCTCTAAAATATCTATGTGACCATCATGAATTACAGGAATTCATAGTCGTGAGATCAACTATACTTTCTAAAAGTATGATGCAGTCCACATACCAATCTTATCGCATATCATCAATATCCCATTCTTGATGATCATTGATTGGGGCTACTTTAGGACCTTATGTTATACCATATAAGCTCCCACATACTTATTGACAACATAAATCCAAGGGAACACAATTATGAATAAAACATTGACAATCGAAAACAATCATTCATAAAGTGTAATACCATGTATATATCAAATATAAAAACTAAATGTGATCAAGTACATATGTCTTTAAAAAAATGATTGTCGCTAGGACATATATACTAACAATCTCCCACTTGGCCTAGTGCCAATCACCAATGCGTCTAACACCTAGATTCTCAAAATGTCTAGTATGTTTCTCGCAGCTCAAAGGTTTGGTGAAGGGATCAGCCAAATTGTCCTCAGTGGAAACACGTTCTATTGCAACCTCTCCTCTTGCTATCTGCTCTCGAATCACATGATAGCGCCTCGACACATGTCCATTCCTCTTGTCGCATCTTGGTTCCTTTGCTTGTGCAATAGCACCAGTATTGTCACAATAAATGGTTATTGGATGACTATCATTTGGAACAACCCCTAATTCTTTGAGGAATTCACGTATCCATACGGCCACTTTAGCTGCTTCTGATGCAGCAATGTACTCGGCTTCTGTTGTCGAATCAGCTGTAGTGTCTTGCCTGGAACTCTTCCAGTCTACTGCTGCTCCATTGAGATTAAAAACATAACCTGATTGTGACTTATAGTCATCCTTATCTGTCATGAAGCTAGCGTCAGAGTAACTAGATGCTATTAGTTTCTCTTGTCCACCATAAACCAAGAAATATTCTTTAGTTCGTCTAAGATACTTAAGAATAGTCTTAACAGCACTCCAATGCCGTTCTCCTGGATTATTTTGATATCGACCAACAATACTAAGCGCATAAGCCACATCTGGCCTAGTACAGATCATAGCATACATGATTGAACCAATTGCAGAAGCATATGGAATCCCTCCCATGCGTTTGATCTCATCATCAGTTGAAGGACTATCCTTCTTTGATAACGATATCCCATGACCCATCGGGAGGAATCCTTTCTTAGATTCTTCCATTTTAAATCGATGTAGTATTTTGTCAATATATGTGGATTGTGAAAGACCTAACATCCTGTTAACTCTGTGTCTATAGATCTTAATCCCAAGGATATAACAGGCTTCACCTAGATCTTTCATCATGAAGATATTGGATAACCATTCTTTCACGGACTTCAATAAGGGGATATCATTCCCTATGATCAGAATGTCATCAACATATATGACCATAAAGACCACGCTATCCTTGCTGCGTTTTGTATATACACACGCATCCTCATTGCTTCTGATGAAGCCAAACGATTTGACCGCTTCATCAAAACGGATATTCCAACTCCTTGAGGCTTGCTTTAGCCCATATATGGATTTCTCCAATTTACATACTGATTTGGGATTTGACTTGGATATAAAACCTTCAGGTTGTACCATGTACACCTCCTCCTTGAGTTTTCCATTAAGGAAAGCAGTTTTGACATCCATTTGCCAAATTTCATAATCATAGTATGCTGCTATCGCAAGCAAAATTCGAATGGACTTGAGTTTTGCAACTGGCGAATAGGTGTCACTATAGTCAATTCCCTCTCTTTGACTATAACCTTTAGCCACTAGCCTAGCTTTGTATGTTTGCACCTTGCCTTCGGCATCAATTTTCTTCTTGAAAACCCATTTGCATCCAATGGGTCTAACCCCAACAGGCAAGTCAACCAAGTTCCATACTTGATTGATATACATCGAGTCCATTTCAGATTTCATGGCTTCTTGCCACCTCTCTGAATCAATATCTAATATTGCTTCAGTGTAAGTCTTAGGTTCATCCTTGTCAGGAATTTCAACATCATCATGATCCTCCATGAGGAAGCCAAACCTAGTTGGTTCATGACGAATCCTAGTAGACCTACGAAGTTGAATATTTTGCGATTGTTCAGGCTGCTCATTCTGATTGTGAAGAGGTTCTCTTGCATTGGACTGTCCAATGCTCGGAGAATTTTCTGGTGCTACACTTTTAAGTGTTTCCAGAGAAGGAGAAGTAGGTGCAGAAGGAATGACAATCATGTCATTTCTTTCATGCCTAATAGGAACCACTTGCTGGTGCGAGGTGCTTCCTATATTACTCCCACTAGCTGAAGGATATCCTCCTAGAGACATACTTCTGCTTAATCCTCCCACTGAATCCTTGTTTTGACCATCTAACAAGTCTTCATCCTCTATGTTATTTTGTGATTCTTGAATTTCTTCTAGTACTATCTTCTCACGATTGAATTCCTTGAAGACCAAGTCTTCTTCTAGGAATCGTGCCTGTCTGGAAATAATGATTTTATGTTCCTTAGGATGATAGAAATAGTATCCCCTAGTTTCTTTAGGATACCACACAAAATAACATCTCTCACTTCTAGCTCATAACTTATCAGTGTGCAATTTCTTTACATAAGCAGGGCAACCCCACACTTTAATATGTGAAAGAACAGGCTTCTTATTACACCATAACTCATATGGTGTCTTTTGCACTGATTTAGATGGAACTCTATTCAGAATGTATATCGAAGTTTGCAATGCATACCCCCAAAGAGATGTTGGAAGAGATGTGGAATTCATCATGGACCTAACCATGTCTAACAAGGTTCTATTTCTCCTTTCAGAGACACCATTCAATTGAGGTGTTCTTGGAGGAGTCCATTGTGACTGAATTCCCTCACCTTTTAAGTAATCAAGAAACTCCTTACTCAAGTATTCCCCTCCACGATCAGATCGTAGAGTCTTGATACTCTTGTCAAGTTGCTTCTCTACTTCAGCCTTATACTCCATGAATTTCTCAAAAGCTTCTGATTTGTGTTTCATAAGATACACAAATCCAAACCTAGAGAAATCGTCAGTAAACGTGATGAAGTAAGAAAAACCTCCTCTAGCTTGAGTTGGGAATGGTCCACACACATCTGTGTGAACCAATTCAAGCACTTCTTTGGCCCGTAGTCCTTTTCCAAGAAAAGGTTTACTCGTCATTTTAGCTGAGAGACACGAATCGCAATTACCATATGATTCAAAATCAAATGGTGTTTAGTAATTTAATTTATTTAACCTTGCTATTCTGGCTTCATTAATATGACCAAGCCTACAATGCCAAAGATATGTGGTGTTTTTCAGATTACTTAACCTTGGTCTTTTATTTTGAACATTTAATATGTCATGTCTACAATTAAGAACATATAAACCATTCATAAGAGGAGCATTTCCATACACAATACCATTTTGTGAAAAACAACAAGTGTTATTAGCAAAATGAAAGGAAAAACCCTCAATGTCTAACATAGGAATGGAAATTATGTTCTTTGTTATAGAAGGAACAAAATAACAATTATTTAGTTCTAATCTATAACCACTGGGTAAATCTAATATATAAGTCCCTACACGTTCAGCAGCAACTTTTGCTCCATTTCCTACACGTAGGTCAATCTCACCCAGCCTAACTGCTCTACTGTCATTTAGGCCTTGCACACTATTGCAAATGTGTGAGCCACAAGCCGTATCTAATACCCAACAGTGAGAGTTAGTTGTAGACATATTAATATCAATGACAAAAATGCCTAAGCTAGAAGCACTCGGTGCTTTGTCTAGATTAGTCCTGTATATCTCACAATCTCTCTTCCAATGTCCTATCTCTTTGCAGTAGAGACATACATCATTTGGTATCTCAGCAATGTGATTCTTCTGAATGTCCTTGTCAAACATGGCTAATTCAGAAGAGCTAACATCAAGGATCTCGGGTACACATGTATCAAATACATGTTCGATATTTTCTTGCCTAAGAACGAAACGCATATTTTGTTCCAAGTCTAGAAAGTTTGGTTCAATCAGATTATTTGTATCCAAGATACTTTTCAATGATAAATTCGACATACCTAAAAAGCCTAAAGAAGTTTAAATAGAACGGAATTAAAATCATATATTAATTCCTATGATCACATCTAGTTAACTAAATAATATGGACTTTTAATTATTTAGCTCACACTATTTTTACATGCTCTTTGACCCCAATAAAAGGAACATGGAATGTTTTACAATCATAGTGGCCAAAATCCTCATTCATACTATTACAGTCCCAGCTTGGGCTGATCACTGCAATAATATAATGGGTAGGTCCCTAGACCAATTGCGTCCAAGCAATTCTTGGTTGATCAATTTTTAATTGATCGACATCCCTAAATTAACACTGACGCTTGGGCGACTCGAGCTAATTTAGGTAAGTCAAAACCATCACACGATCACAAACATATGTATCTATAAATTAGTTCTATATTTTGTCGAATGGAATAAACACTTGGGTGAAATATTCTTCAACGAAAAAATATTTCTACTAATTTAATTATGATGGGTGATGTCGTTATCCTAGATAAGACTTAAATTTTAATTTATGGGGAACGTTTAAAGGGTATTAAATTATTTAATCAAGATGCTAATAATAGATTATCTAATAATATGTTAACGAGATCTAACTCAGACAGATAAATTAAAACATTGAATGTGAATCTAATTCAAACTTGTAATAGTCAAACATTAAAGTAAAAGCATGTTAAATACACTAACCCGTCAAATTAAAATTATCCTTCCAAATCTCAATGATAATTAATCTAATTAATAAGGATATTTTTAATTTTACTATGAAAGTAATTCTATTACTACTCAATATTGCCAAATCCATAGCAAGCACTACCCCGCTTCGTTTTGTGCACCGCCGGAAAAAAAAACTTCGTAGCAAACTGTATAGAACTTCAATTTAGGATTTCAAAAAAATTGGAAGACAAACTCCAAATTTATCAAATTTTTAAAACAGGTCAGCGACACAAATAAAACGCAGATTGCAGCACTTCCAAAACCGGAGATCAGACGAAGAAAACAGATCGCGTTCTTAGCGGGTTCATAGCTGACTTGTAGTGCCATCGTCGCTGGTCGCAAGGCTCGTCCGCCGTATTTTGTCCTCATCGCTTCGCTGAGTCCACTGACTGAAGGTGCCTCTTTGGTCGCCGGCAGATATTCCGGTTCACACTCGATTGGTATATTTTCCCGTCAAAAACCAAAGCTAAGAGAATAAACGCAGATAGCAACGAAAAACATGGCGCATCTTGTAATCATATTATATTTTACAAATTCAGATTTTAATTTCAAAAATCAAAACCTAAATACGTTAAAAATAATTATTGTAGATAAAATTCCAAATTATTCATCAAAACTCAATCAACGTGGTTGAGGAGAGAACGCTAACTTCTCTAAACGATCAAAACTGTCGAAGCCATACGTCAATTCCAATTTGAATTGATAAAGCTTCGTGATATTCAATCAATAAAGACAACTCCAAATAGCATACAACAATTTTGATTTAGATTCTAATTCCAATTTCTAAAATCAATTCAATAACAAAACATGCGTAGATCCTATTTCTACGCAACACGTATTTCAACCGGAAAATATCATCTACAATTCGTATAATGTCATTAGAATCAGTTTGGCTCTGATACCACTGTTAGGAAATTGATGTAACGTACCTCGAAAGTACGGCAGCGGAAGTTTAAAATTTTCCCAAACAGATCTTCCCTGATTATGACAAAATAACGAATATGATAATAATAACAGATCTGAGTTAGAACTTACAGATCTTCCAGCCTAGCGGTGATAATCCTTGACCTTTGGTATCCACGTGATTTCTCCTTCCCGAAAGAACGGTTAGATCTCCCTAAGAGAAAGGCTAGGAAATCTCTTCGCAAGGAAATAAGCTGTTAATACTGAATCTGAAAACTGGTCTATAAATTATGAAGGAGAAGGATGTATTTATACTAGTTCGAAACTAGTTTTCCAATCACAATGAAAGTCTTTCTAATTAATGAGTTCTAATCCTACTAGGACCAATACTCCTAATTAATTAAATAAGTAGATAAAACAAAACAAAATAATAATAATTGAAATGTGGCTGCACGCCACTTTCTAATTATTATATATTAATATTTATTTTATTTACTTTTCTTTTAATTCCAAATTACAAAAGAAAATATCTACTTTATTTAATAATAAATACATCTTATTTAAGTATGATAAATCTAATTTATCTTACTTAATTAATTCTATCAAATAGAACTCTCCTTCAGCTTCATGAATTAAATATGTTTAATCTAATTAATATTTAATTCATTTTCAGTATTACGAATTAAATATTATTTAATCCAATTAATAATATTTAATTCCTTCTAACAATTCAATCGGAAAGTATAATCACTTGTTGTGTGACCCATAGGGCCTTATATATTAAGCACTAATCAAATTAAGGTCTTAGCGAATCCCTAGACAATTCTCCAGACAAACCTAATATATAAGGACGTTTGCGAGGACTATACAAACTCCCTGTAATATAGAGCTCATAGTGATACGGTCCTTTCATTCAGCGAACATTCAACTAAGTCTAGAACATGATATAGTGTCTATCCCAATAACTCAGTCTCTGTCTCTCAATCTTTCTAGATGATCCATAACGATCATATTCGATATCCAAAACGAATATATCTTTGCATTGGCCAATGACTTTATGATCCATCTAGATATGAGAAGTAGAATGTTCTCTCTTAATCTATTATGAGGAATGAATCCTTTCTTGGCTCAACTACTACTCCATGTGCTTCGTGATGCACCCAACACATGCCGTATCTACCCCGATTGGAGTGCAAGCGTTGGTCATGGTCAAAGTACATCACTCCGCACATGTAGTACGTATTGACCTCAAGTCGGAGGACTATTACACTACTCTATACGCCGATAAACCCATAGACACATGAATAGAACTTATCAAATGGTTTCTCGGTGGGTATGCCAATATTCTCTAAAATATCTATGTGACCATCATGAATTACAGGAATTCATAGTCGTGAGATCAACTATACTTTCTAAAAGTATGATGCAGTCCACATACCAATCTTATCGCATATCATCAATATCCCATTCTTGATGATCATTGATTGGGGCTACTTTAGGACCTTATGTTATACCATATAAGCTCCCACATACTTATTGACAACATAAATCCAAGGGAACACAATTATGAATAAAACATTGACAATCGAAAACAATCATTCATAAAGTGTAATACCATGTATATATCAAATATAAAAACTAAATGTGATCAAGTACATATGTCTTTAAAAAAATGATTGTCGCTAGGACATATATACTAACAGCTACCGCCCCCCAACAATTTTTTTTTAGTGTATATATATACGAAAAATAATTTTTGCTCTTCCAAAAAGTATTTTGAACCCCCCCAAAAATATTTTCGCCCCCCGAAATGACTTTCCTGGGTCGGCCCCTGGCTTGACATGAACCGTAGTCCACGCGCACGCGCACACACATACACGAACCCCTCTTAAAATGAGAACACATCTTAAAATAATAACTTTTGATCTCCATCATTCATTTTTAAATTCAATGGCTAATAATGACAAAGTGACATTTTCATAAATATCTAGAATTAATTGCCAAAACCGCCCCATTTGAATTTCAGGTAATTATGAATATGACCCCATGTGAATCATAACCAATGATTGCAATAAATAAAAGGTAGATATTAAAAGTTCTCATTATAAGGAGTTGTCATTTTAAGAGAGATTCTCACTAAAACTCTCCCCTATATTTTAGGGAGAGTTCAAATAAAAAGAAGTGCTCTAGTGCAAAGTGCGAATTGTTGCACTTTTTCCTCACCGCGTTGCACTATTGCATCTTTGTGTTACACTTTTTCGCGATGGCAAATAACTTCGGTTTATTTACGAATTTGCTACCACGTTTTTTATATCAAATTTAGTGCATTTTTTCGCTCATTTTGAGCCATTAGATGTGGAAATCAATGCACAAGATTTATTCTCATTTTGCATGGGAAGACCTTTTTGTATTTGAACCTTTCACTCGGCGATCGAGGCATGCCGATTAGACTGAAGGGTAAATTTTATCGAACATCAATTAGGCCTGCATTAATTGGGCGGTGAAACAATATCACATTCAAAAGATGAGTGTGATAGAGATGTGTATGTTGCATTGGATGTGTGGACACATACCAGAAAAGAGACCGCTCGAGGAATGAGATAATCAGATAAAAGATGGGAGTAACACCTATAGAAGATAAGATGTTGAAATCTCGTTTACGGTGGTATGGTCATGTGCGTAGAAGACCGAATGATGCACCTGTTAGACGACTTGAGAGGTGGGGAGAAGATGTAGAGAGGAGAGACAGAGGAAGACCCAAACAGACTTGGATTAGAGGAATCATAACGGATATGCTTCTTCTTGGGTTGGATGAGAGTACGACTGTGGAGAGAGCAAAATGGAGAGCGCACATTCGTGAGGATGAGTGATCTCTTTTCTATCTTTCTTCTCTTTTTGTTTTATCATGTATATTTATTATCTTTTTATTTTCTTGTGTTATTTTTATGTCCTATTTTTATGCTCTTTTATCTTTTTATCTTTTATTTTTCTTATATTCTAATGTTATTGTTATCTTTCTTATTTTTCTTATATTTTTATCTTACTTTACTTTTTTATTTCCTTATCTTTCTTCTCCTTTTAGCACTGATATCATTGATCGATTCTGTTAGCCAACCCCAAATTCTTTTGGGATTAAGGCTTGGATGTTTTTGTTGTTGTATATGTAGTTATTCCATTAAAACAAGTTCATATAAGGTTTTTGTAAAAAAAAAAACTTTGATGTTTTCAAGTGACAGTTTCTGCTTAAATTAATCATCTTGAAACTAAAAACTAGAAAGAAGTGAATGAGGGTTTGAAATGCTTTTCATTTTCTCTATTATACAAAACGATCCTAATTTTATTTTTTCAAAAGCTTTTTTTCTCAAAGAGGACAACTTTAACTATTATATAATTTCTCTAAAACGCTTTTTAAAAACCACTTTTTGAAGTAGAAACAACCACAAACACTCCCTAATCCCCATTTTGACTTAAAAGTAGAAACATTATCTTGGGGCAAAACTCGGGTTACTACTAGTTATTCCCTAAATAAGAGTTACCTACTCCTATTCTTATTTCCATATGTTTGTTCAATGTCTTTTTTACCCTAATAAAAAATGGACCAGAACTTCCTCTTCACATTCTCTCTCATGTTCAATTTCTTTCTTCCTGCTTCGATTTTAGATTCTCGGTAGACTCATGGCTCCGGTCGCGACCATTAGGTGTCATTGGCGTGGTGGGGGCGTGGGGCCAATGAATTTGATGCTCGTTAGCCACAATCAGGTGGTTAAGTGGGGCATCTTCTGCTGCGGTGCACGGGCATGGATTCAGATGGCAATTTATCGCCGACTAATATTGCATTCTAGAAAAGATATGGCATTTTGCGCCTTGTAAGATGCCATTTTGCGCCATGTAAGATGGCATTTTTAGTCACCACATTTATGTTGAACAAGATATCATTCATGTTTGATGATAACACTTTTAGATTAATTTTGATGACAGATTTAGATTAATTATGATGACAATCTTAGATAATGACAATTGATGGAATATAATTCTAGAGAAAAGAGCTTAATCAATCAAGTGTTTACTGATCATAGGAAAGAAAGTAATAAAACTATTATTCATACGGAAAAGCTCCCTTTACAAGAGATGTACAAGAGTATTTATAGACTACATGAACTAGTATTCTAGTATGAAACTGATACAATAAATGCAATTAATTGCATATTAATTCGAATAGGACTCTTGTAATGTCTTAGCCATTGCTAGATAGCTATGTTGGAATGATGACCTGCCACGTAAGCCCTAGGAATATCCCAGCCTCACTAGAACTCTGCCCACGCTCGAGGTCTGTTGTCCAGCTTGGCCTGGTTGTAGGTTCCTTTCGTGGGTTGGATCCCTAGTTAGGCCCAGCGGCTAATTAATATTAATCCCGTTGATGGGTTGATCCCGTTGATGGGCTTTGCTTTAATTCAATCCTGGGCCATGGTAATGATCTGTGGTACCATCACGAGCCCCCCTACTCTCTTGAGCTGACCAGGCTCAACGAAAGAGAGTA